TTTTTACGTCTGTCAGTGTGGTTGAAATATAGCTTCCGTACCACAGAAATGTTTTTGTGAAAAGCATGAATGTACAGATTAGTCACGCTTTATAGTCACAACCACCTTTATTCAATTGACCCCAAAAACTTTCAGAGGAAACTTGCTATCAGAAAAAGTCGAAGAATTCATTTCAGCCAGTTTTCAAGTCTCTGAATGTTATCGTGGGGTTTTATACTGACAAGCTGTCCATGCAGGAGATTGTTTCATCACTTTTCCCGTTTTCCTTAGACGTCCTGGGAAACTTGATGCGTTGGAAACGCTTGTGTGACTAGGGTTATAAACGTTTGTAAATTTGTCAATTTTCAACAGGTAAAATAATACCAGAGGTAATGTAAAGGTTCCCTTGCTGGTGCTAGTAGCGATTTTACACTCAGTTGACTTATAAGCTTTTCGAATTTACAACCAATATTTTGGCAAAGAGTCTACACTAAAATACCAAAATGTCTCAAATGTCTTTTTTTAATTTCTAACGACAAACAATTTTTTTTGTCCGACCAGACTGGCTTTTTGTCAGTTCAAAACTGGTCCTTGTCCTGACCAATGACCTGCCTATAGACAAAAATTATTTGCAGGCTTGTAAACCTGCATTCAGTGGACACCTCTTTTAAATGGACGAGGACACTAATATTAAGCCATTTTGTTGCACAAAACCTGCAGTAAGCTGACACTACAAGGGCTTTTTACTTCTAAAGGTCTAGCTGAAATTCCCTAAACATTGTTCAGTGATGTCATTTTAAAACTAAGTGATTATCCCAGATTGATGCATTGATTGACTGGACATTGTACTATGAGCAGTCTTAGCTAGTCTTTAATCTTACACTGTTTTACAAAAAGGTTAATAATTAACTATTATTTCACAACATACTAGAACCTGTTTTGAGGGGACACACTGTATTAAGTGGACACTAGTGAGGGTCCGATGAGTGTCCTCTTAATACGTAAGTCTTTGTTGGTATACATATATTTTTGATAATTGCTTTCTCTTAGTGTGCTTGTGTGTGCCTTTTTTTGCTTTTTGTACACTTGCTGTATCTTGATTCATACAATATATTGAAGTTTAAACTGCATCTCAATGCTTATGTAAGCTTCAGAGTTGTCCTGGTTATTTAGATGGCTTCAGGGCACAGTAACTGGCTGTGCACTTGTTGTGTTCTGGCCAAAATTCCATTCCTACAGAAGGCATTTTTTTTTTTAATTTATTTTCTACATGTGTCATGTTACGGTAAACTCTTGCTTTCGTTTCTTGATACCCTATAATTGTATTCTACTATGTCACTGATTTCATAGAATGATTGGGAACTAACTAGGGTTGTGTTTAGTGTCTGGGGAACCTAATAATGTTCAGCAGCCTTGTCTCTCAACTCAGCCTGAAGTGACAAGGGTTTAGTATTCTATGGGATGGGATACTAGTCCATGAGAGCTTAACCCCTCTTGCAGCATAAATTTTATCAAGTTGGTCTAACAGCTCACTAGCACTCATTTTGCTCTCCTGTGCACATGTGGAGAGATGAAGCCGGAGGCACTATATGAGAACAACAACAACAGTTTAGTTGCACCAAACAGAGAAAATATACCATCTTGTCAAGGACTGACACCACATGACCCCAGTCAGAACCACTCAAATATCTCGATAGACTTCAACCTCCAACCATTAGTACATCGTGTTTCCCACACCAAGATTAATGAGTGGTCATTGCTTTCTAAGCCTGATCACTTTCAAATTAAACGGCCTTTGGATATTTGGATTTAACCTGAGACAGATAACTGGCACGGACAATATCTGTCGCAGATACTGCTGTCTCTAGTGTAAATGTAGGTATGTAAAAGATGCTTTCATTCGAAAATCGTGCAAGTGACAAAAGGAAGGAAGTAACAAAATATACCCCTATATTTGAGAAATCGTTCACATCGGATCAATAAGAACGAAGGCGACCAAGGCAAGTCTTTCGGTCAGTAGGACTGTCTGTCGAAGGAAATTTTGCTAACACTACGAGGCAGGTCTCCAACTTTTAAGAGACTTGTTTTTAAAACATAATTATAATTAACTAACCTTTAAAGGCATGATATCGGAGGTTGTTTCTACTCCAAGCAACCGAGTTCACCGTTGTTGTTTCATGGCGGCGTGTACGCGCCAAGGACGCGCGAACCATTGCAGACCAGTTACCATCGGGGGTAGTGACAGGCAATTCGACAAGAGCGTACAGAATCCCCCAAAATGTTCAGAATCGCCCACTAAGAAATCGCTCTTTTTACTTCATATTTAGCTTCTGTATTTTGGGAAAAAACACTTGATTGCTAACAAAGTAAAAGTTTTCTTTGGGGTATTTGTTCCCACTGGTCCGTCTCCTGTGAGTAAACTTTGTCACTGAATGTATGTCAGCGGTTAACCGTTGGTCCCTTGGCGACTGCATGGCAACATCAACAAGTTTGGCACGCGCCAAAGTGACTGCGATCAGTAGCTCTAATGTGCTTTCTTCTTTGATCAGACGTTCCTCTCCAAAATGGTTAGTCCTTCCTATAGTCAGCAAGTCGCCCCTCTTCGTGGAAGACCTACGATCTTCGGAAATGTTTATGAAAAGAATGTTGTGTTTCTTCTCGACACCTCGGGTTCAATGTACCACAGTTTCGACGTCGTCAAAGAACACTTGCTCGAAATATTGTTCGCGCGTGCGATTTCTGGCAGGGATACCATGTTCAACATCATTGAATTTAACGAAGAGGTCAACAAATGGGCAGACAGATTAGTGGCTTGTACTCCCCGTACAGTTAGCATCGCTAGCGACTGGATCCACAAACTGAAGTGTGGAACATCAACAAACACTATGGAAGCTTTGATCGAAGCGTACGACGATGATGGAATGGACGCTATTTATCTAGTTACCGATGGTCTGCCTGATCAGAGTCCTCCAGTCATATTGGAAAACGTCCGTCGTCTACACAAAGGTCGGCCCATACATGCTATATATCTCACTGGCACGCACTCGGATCCTGCCGCAAAGGAATTCTTGGAACAGTTGGCTAAAATTACCAAGGGCTCTTTCCACACCATAAGCCTTACACTTTATGGAAGGATCCAGAAAGTCACGCCGATCTTCAATCAGAAGACTGAATTCATGCGACATTATGATGGCGAATTCTTATCACCCAACCTGACGAACGTATTCAGTGTAAACTCCTCCAGGCTTGAACGGCCAACCTCTGCACCCCCCGCATCAGGGTTTGTCCCGAGGATTTATGATCCAGGAACCCCAGTCACGCTCCTTAGGGCACCCCACGGAACTGTCCCTATTCCGTATGTTTCATGGAGTAAGTATGATCAGGAGAGAGGAACATCGAAGGTCCTTCAGTATGCTGATGCAGTTTTGGCATCTCGAGGGCTGTCTAAAGACAATGAAAAGTCTACTACCCGTACAAATGTGCCCGTAGCTGCCAGTATAATGAAAGGCATGAAGGTGTTGGCAAGAAAAGATTCCGATGGTCTCTTTTACATGGCAGTTATAAAAGAACAGGTATATCATCAGCACCAGGTTATGATAGCTGCTAGCAGGCTCCATGCTGTGAGATAGTAGATTACAGGTGGATGGGTGAAATGACAAGAAAAATCAGTCCTACATCCCCCTTCCATGCATTATTAGGGGTGGCAAATTGTCCCTTAAAAACCATGGGTCTCGCAAAATTTTCATGAATTTCATGGGTCTAGTGCATTCTCATTTTTTAGTGTTTGTGTGTGTCTCACAGTCTCAATTTTTTCACAAAGCTGTCTTGCAGTCTCAATTTTTTTCACAAAGCTGCCTTGCAGTCATGATTTTGTTCAAGGCTAAGAAAGTCGGAAGTAACGATTTGTTTATTTTTTATATCATCTTAAATGACATCTGAACATCTTAGAACCTGAATGTCTCAAGCTCGCATTTAGAAGTTGCAGTCTCGCACAGAAAAAATAAAATAGTCTCACCTTCTCCTAAAGTCTCACATTTACCATTCACCACCCATATTAATCCCTGAACATATACAGCCTTTGTGCAGGCTTAGTTGTGGAATGAAACATGATTATTTTATGCTCTGTATTAGAGTCAAAGGTTGGGATAATTATTATGATGGATAAATTTGATTTGCCAGAACACTACCGGTAGGTATTCCACAAGTAAATATCTCTCTCAAGGAATGAATGAAATACATGCTGGATGAATTCAACTTGAGTTCCTATTTATTGATTCATTTCAGGGAGAAAATGATACATTTGTAGTTGAGTTCGACCAATGCCCAGCCCTGCACAAGCCACACCTACAGGAGGTACCTCTGTTTGATATGATTGCTTACAAAGATGCCATAAGACACCATGTATGTATTGGAGACAAAGTATTAGCTCCATGGCAGAATGACGGGCGTTATGGACCAGGCACTGTTCTTGATGGAGTGGACCGCCGAGATCTTCAGCCACAAGGTAACGATTAAATGCTAATTTGGTTCTGTGAACGTGAATAAATTACCAGCATTTGCATAGATAACATGCCATCCCTCTTTCCCCTTAGTTTGTTAAGGGAGTGTCCAACAGCGGGAGTGGAAAAAATGCAAGGGAACACCAGGGGGAGAGACCCACAGCCCCTACAGAGTTTGTGTGACCAATTTTGTCCCTTTTGCTACTTTTATGCTTCTTGCTAGATAAACTAAGGGGAAAAGTGATTATGATCATACTCTAGATGTGGTTCACTTATTTGGTTCTGTTTCTGATAAAACAACATCAAATTCATGTACAGAATTCATGCACTAATGCAACTTACAGTTGTACATATAACTTGCCCGTGTTACTGGATCACGCACTAATTTATGTTATTTGCTAATAGGTTTTGAAGGAGGTGACCTTCTTGTTGCCTTTTACAATGGCCAAACGGAGCAGTTATCACCCGGAGTTGCTGTAAGAATACCACTTGCTGTGTTCGATCGCATTGTAACTGAACTTCAGCTACCCGAATCCCAACGACGGAAAATCAGGCTTGCTGCTGACACATCAACTCCACCCTACCAAGGAAGACCCCCTCCTGTTCACACAACATGGCAGCGACCATTTAGCCCTCCACGGCAACCAAAACAGGGAACATCCAAGCATGATTCAAAAGAAGCCCTAACTGACAAAATCAAATCACAGCTTGAGAGAAACAGACATTTGCTGGATAGGGTGCGGTTTGATGAGGAGGGGGAGCCTGAAGAGAATTTGTCTGATACTGACATAGATGAAGTGGTAGACATTGAAGACAGAAATGGGTATAGACAAGAAACCTTTGATGTTTGTGTCAGAACTGAAGATATAGGTGAGCATCGCATTTCCATAGTAACCAATTGAAACTGGTAATATTACAATGTATCAAATGAGGCTTATTGTAACCATTTAACCACCTAAACTCTCTTCACCTGAAATTTTAAAAAAGCTTTGTAACTTGTACTGAATTTTGACAGATTTTAAAAGATATACAGACCCAGTCGTGCCTGTGGGAACACCACTTTCAAAAGCTGGTGGAAGACCAGAGACCAAAAGACGTTGGCGCTTGTGGAGTTCAGGGGTGCCTCCACGACCTGCAAGATTCAGAGAGACAGCACTGGCAAAGCCAGCAGAAGTGCGAGATGACAAAAACCAACGCCCAGGATACCAGGAATATCAGAGTGTGGCAGGTGTGCCTTTTCCATGTGGGACAGGTAATATGCTGTTTTATCACGTGACTAACTCTGCAAGTGGGCAAGATGACCCAAATCCTGTGCTGTGGTTGGGATAACCCATTGACACCCACAAGAAAATGGTGTTCTTGATGCTTTGTATTAAATCCCTTATTGACCAAACTTGTTTGGTGAAGATGGTTGGATATTGGCCAATTGCTCTTTATTTTGCTTATTTTGTCCTTAACTGCATCTTGGCCAACATCCAGCCATCTTGACCTTACGCCTGGTCAATGATGGTACAGTCCATTTGTCATTCAGCTGATTGTCTTGATATACTATATTAAAGATGAACTCTCTCAGATATTTTTGTCATCTCTTTACCCACATGGAAGGTAACATAATTGAAGTCTACAAGTTTTGACATTGATTGCTTAGTAGTGATGTAAATGATGGGCAATGACCCAAGCAGGTTTTCTTGTGGAGTTCAAGCTAATGACCAGAGTTGTTGATAATTAACTTACAGACAAAAAATTTGATGGTGAAGACTGGCATCCACACCATCAATGGAAAAATACTGGAAACACAGCAGCAAGGTCTGGTCCACCACAACTCAGACACCATGAGTACCAGTCATCTAAAGGAGTACCGTTCCCACCAGCAACAGGTAGTATAACTACTTATTATAACCATAAATCATATCAGTAATACAGGGGTGCAGGGAAAAGAGCCAGTACAATAGAGGGGATCAAACTGAAAGAAGGCAGCCTCGCTCGGACTTAAAGGAGCTTCTACTGAGTACTTAAACGTTGGGCAACGTGTCTCATCAACCCATCAGCTATACTCTGGAAAATAAAGAAATTTTGTACTACCTAGAAGAACTAAGCTGTTTAGATTTTGCAGCACTGTAGTGTTCAGTCACTCCTAGCCATCCCCCACCCACCTCTTGGCAGAAAACAAAATTGAATTTCTTCCCTGACTTTAAAAGACAGAGAAACCAGGGATGGAATATTTTTCTAGTTATCGTTAATTCCTCTATTTCTGCTTGGTGTTGAAATGTTCTTTTGAAATGGCAATACCTGTAAACTAGCTGAATAGTTTTCTCCAGCAGAAAGTTACCATTTACGATCTCTAATATTTGACTTTTGGCGTTCTAAGATAACAAATTCAACACCGGTTCTGATGGCAATTGGCGACCTGAATACGCCGGTGCTGAAGTGAAGCGGTCGTCCAATTGGGAGGATGGACTGGGTCGAGGAGATATCGAGAAAAATAGGAAAGACAGGAAACGACTTGAGACAAAGAGAGACGCAAACCAGAGATACCATGCACAGATAGCGAAGGATTCCATGGAGAAACAACAGAAAGAACGGGCTAGACAAGACTATCACAGGTGCCTAAGCAGAACCAGTTTCGTACAGTTTAACACTTACATGTAGCTTTTCTTCAACGTGACGTCGATAAATTTAAATTCACCACCGTAGCAAGTTTGCGAAGTTGACGTTACGAGCGTTAGGTCTTCGTCAGAGCAAAGCTTTGTGTTTTTTTTTGTTTTTTGTTTTTTTCTTTTAAGATGAAACCCAAAGGGCTTACATTCAAATAAGCTATTTGTAGACTATGGTTTAATTTTACTTTTTTCGCATGTTTCCTTTGAAACGTCTTTCTGGTACCTTTGTGTCACTTTGGGATGCACAGGTAAACGACACTTGTATATGCACCTCAATAATGCCACAGAACGTTTTCAGTATTAATTTCGGAATTTGTCAAACAGTAACAAAAGATGCGACAAGTGACGATTCACTTTTTTGCAGAAAAATGGTTGACGAACGAACTCGTCAAATTTCCGAGAAGTCCGCAGAAAAAGCCCGACAAGAAAGCGACAGAATGGATAGCAAAAAGCAATCAAGTGAAAAGATTTGCCAAAAGGAACGAGAGAGACAAGAAAAGGCCGAGACGTGGAAACACTCGCGGATCGAAGCCATGAGAGAACGAAGAACACAACACGAGGAAATGGAGAACAGTTATGAAAGAGCCGCACAAGAACAGGAGTCGCAAAGACTGGTACGTGTTCACTAAACCCTTCCGGGAAAGGAGATGGAGATTCCTAGGGCGGACGCAACGAGTAAACAGATTTCCCTGGGGTTTCTTTCTGTCTTGCCAGCCAAAGGTTCCTTGCCGCATTTCCTGAACGCAAATTTACCGAAATTGTAGTCATTTTACACCGGGAAAGCATTGTAGTTTCCCTAGAAGATAACTCCAATCGGCAAACTTTGCCGTAATTCCATCAATACTAACGCTTTCAGATTGAAAACCCCGTACGGGTAACCGTTAATTCACCTGCTGACACTGCGAGTGATACGTCAATATTCGCCACTTTAGAAACGAGAAGAAACCTATGAAAGTCTCATCTCGAGGTGGCTTGTGGGACCGTTACAGGGACAAAACAAAACACGGGAAGCTGTGTTGTGCCCAGTAGCGATCCCAGTAGCGATCCCACAAGCGACTACGAGATGAGACACCCGAGATTTCTACGCGTTTCTAAAGTGGCGAACTGCGGTCTCCAAATTCTCAATTAGGTGAGTAGCACAGTATTGTTAGTCTAATGCGTAATTGTCCTCTGTCAGTTCCTCTCTACACCTTCGCTCTCTCTCTTCGTTCTCTTTAGTAAACTTTATCTCGTTCTCCTGCTTTCGATGCACGCGCTCCCTACTGTCATTTTAACTCTGTTCTCATTTTCTTCTGCAGAGTGGACTGAAGGATCGCGAGCAAAGGAGAGTGGAAGCTCACCACGATCGCTTGGTAACCGAGAGAAGAATGGGACTAGATAGGGAAGATCAGTTGAAACAACGAGAAATGGAACGTCAGGCGAGAATAGATAAGATTAAAAACACCGCGGAACGAAGAAAAGAAATGAAAATTCACGTGAAACAACAGAATGAACAGAAATATCGAGCAAGCATTCTTCCCTAGACACAAAGGGGCATAATGAGGATAAAGGACTAGACAATAGCTTGTTTGCCGATCAGTACTGAACAGTACTGAACTAGAAAATAGATACTTTACCTGAACACCAGTCCTTTCCTTCTTCAATAGCACGAAAAGCATGTAACAACGTGGGACGCAAGACTCTCCATCTCTCTTTGTTTTGTTGTTGTCGTTGTTTTTTCTCTCCTCTGCTTCTCGTGCCCCGAGCTTTCATGCGCTCTTCGAAATCTTGAAAAGATATAGAACTTCTACTGATACGTTCGGTATTCTCGTTCCCAGAACTAAATGCATGTATAGATTTCTCACTCGTTTGAGGGAAGAATAAACGTTATTCTTTCCCTTTCTCAACGCTCAGAATTCTCAAGAAAACTATGTTAAGGCCCTTGCTCTATTCCACTCGTGAAATGAAACGGAAATGACGCGCTCGGCTTGTACAGATGGGCGCGACTGCAGGCCCAACTGTAACAACTTGTTAGGTTTAATTTGCCAAAACGAAGTCATTGTAAAAGTCGGGTATGGATGCGTGTTCATGTAAATACTTAGCTGTTATGGGGAGAATATCGATAAGGAACGTTACACAGAGAGATTAAATCAAATATAAATGAAACGTGTATTGATTGCCCGATTATTAATTTTCAATGGAGGGAGCTTTGTACAAAATACAGATCTTCATAACTATCACTGCTTTTGTGTATTAAAGAAATCTGTGGACTCTTTATAATACTGAAGTCAGTATTTTTGTTCGAGATTCAAGGTTAATGCGTAGGTTTTTTTATTGGGATTCCAAGAGCCCTACCGGGATCGGGGACATTCTGTTGTGTTCTAGGGCAAGACCCTTTACTCTCACAGTGCCTCTCTCCACGCATGTGTTTAAATGGGTACCGGTGAACTTGATGCTGGGGGTAATTCTGCGATGACCAGCATCCCATCCAGGGAGAGTAGAAATATTCCTAGTCGCTTCATGCTACAGAAACCGGGATAAGCTCCGGCCCGATGGGTTACTTGGCTCGTATGCCACTTAACCTCACCTTTTACCTTTCCTTCAATACCAGTCAAAACTGAAGTTTAATGGCTGAACTACAGAAGAAAGAGCAGGAACGAGGGGTGAAGTCGTTTGACAGTACTTCAAATATGTACTTGACTATCTCACGTAGCCTGCTATTTACAGTCCAGTTTCTTATGTGAAAGGGGGAGGCGCGGTGGCCTCATGGTGAGTGCGCTCGTCTCCGGGATCGAGCGGTCCGGGTTCGAGCCCTGGCCTGGGACATTGTGTTGTGTTTTTGGGCAAGACACTTTACTCTCACAGTGCCTCTCTCCACCAATGTGTATAAATGGGTACCGGCGAATTTAATGCTGGGGGGTAACCCTGCGATGGACTAGCATCCCATCCAGGGGGAAGTAGAAATACTCCTAGTCGCTTCATGCTACAGAAACCGAGATAAGCTCCGGCCTGATGGGCCACTTGGCATGTATGCAGACTTCACCTTTACCTTCCTTATGTGAAAATGATCCGCCTGTCATGAACAGCGGAGAGTAAGAAAACGCCAAGTAACAAAGGAGACCTTCAAAAAAGCCATTTAACTTTTGGAGTACAATTGGCGAGAAATTCCAACACGTTCTTTAATTCCGTAGAAGAGACCATGATCTGACCTCATTTTCTCTTGTTCCGTATTATTTTTTTCAACATTTGCTTACTTCATATACTGTTCGAAAGACAACTTATGTCTGTAACAATAAACTTAGGCAATAAAGGAAATTCAAGTAGGATTAAGCATCTCTAGACTCGACATGATTTTTAGATCGGTTTCAAAACGTTTGCAGCAGAATTAATTGCATAAGTCAACAATGATATTTCTTTCTCCACTAGTTTCCAGTCTCCTGTTTTTTCCGCTTTAATCAGTGCGTAGTGTACCCGAGGGAAATAAACACCGCCGTAAAGGTTTGAAAGGTTAGGTCCGTAAATAACATGCCGTAACTGTTTATGATCGTTCTTCTCCGTCGTTTGTATAAACGCTTTCTCCAGTTGCATCATTTGATCGTTAAGCATGCGCAGTTTCTGAGGTCCCCCTTTAAACTTGTTTCTTTGAAACTCACGCGAAATTCTCGCAAAATTCTCTACCGCGCGAGAAAAGGCAACCGTGCTGATGTCGTGTGATTTAAGACGAGCGTTCGCTTCTAGAGAGTGAGCTTTTGACCGTAACAGTTCCCCATAGGTTGTCGTATTGAAAGGTAACAGTTCCGACTCGGACAATTTCAGAAGAAAAATCGCGGCAAATTTTGCCACGGCGAGATGAGTTTTAAATTCAGGATCAACGAAAGTTTTCATCCAATAATAAGTGTCGTGTATGGAATGATATACAGGATATGATCTTCGTATTCCATACATTCCTCCAAAGATATAAGACCAATCAACACACGAAACTCCAGTGAACTGGTAGAAAAGGGCGTAGTCACTTCCGAATGACAAATTATCAGTGACCGGCGTGCCGTTGACATGTTTCGTGACATCTCTCTCCAGCATCACTTCGTACATGCTTTTGCACGAGTGTGAAACTGTGGGATCACAAACTTCTTTTGTCAAGGAAACAGCCACTTCTTGAAGTAAAGGATTTGCGTCCACGTTAAGAGTGAAATTGCCATTAACTGCCACGTCCATGTTTAGGTAACCAACAGCACGATCCTGAAGAATCAGAGCATTTTCCTCAACCCACTCCGCTGACCCAACAACAAACACTTCCTCTGCATCCCAGCTGCACAGCATTATGGTCCGGCGAGGCCGCCATCCCGTTTTGAGCAACTCTCCCAGACCACGTGACACTTCCATTAACACCGACGTACCGCTGACCGCATCGGCAGCGCCAAACACCCAGGCATCTCGATGATTTCCCATGAGCACATAACGGTCAGGTTCCTCGGCGCCTCTGATTTGACCAATGACATTGTAGATGGTTTTAGTTTCCAGATCATTGTTAACTTCCATCCGTAACGAAAGATTTTCGTCTCTAAATCCTGGTCCAAGGCGATATTTTAAACTTAAACCCCCTTGCCAGCTTTTAGGTGCCTTACGACCTGCAGAAACAAAAATTCAAACATGTAATGTTAAAATAAAATGTTCGCAATCTGATTATAATTTAGATTGGAGTCTGGGAGCTTTGATTTTCTAAACCAGAAATAAGAAAACGAGACACTTGCCAAATAATTTATTATTCTGTGCAAAACACTACGGATATTTGAGAGCACTTGCTCAGGGTTGTGAAGTTCAACATTGGTTCCAAGTTTCTAAATGTCGTGACTGTATAACATATGGTGTTCACTTCTTTATTGTAACATAAATCACGTATTACGTCCCAGTTGGAAAAGCCCCGTTTCACCAACTATGTGGCTTCAACATGATTTGAACCCATAAACTCCATGACATCTTATGATGCGCTTATAACTGATTCGTAAAGCCGCTTCGCTTTGCCTTTAAAACGATATTCACTATCATTACTGATGACATTACCATAACTCCAACCCAGGACACCAGACAAACGTCTGTGCAAATTGACGGATGAAAACCTCGCAAATCATCGTTCTATGCAAGCTGCACATTGCAGAAGCTATGACCATTTTTATACTCAAGCCCTATTGGTCAATCTACACAGAATGTCTAGGGTGACTTTGGTTGAAGTAGTCTCACTGAAATACGGTATTGATTCACCAGCTGAAAGATATCAATAACACAGTGATGGCATATGGCAGAGGTATTCCGTTTTCTGTGAGCTTGCTAAAACACGCAAAACAGGAGAGTTGTTTTCACAAAACAAAAAACACCAAAACGTATGAGGATCGTGACGTTAAGCTCCACGAAAGGCGATCGGAACAATTCTGGCGACATTTCAGTCAACGTTGCAAGCACCTTCAGAAGAAAAACCTGGAGAATGCTGTATGAAACTCACCTTTCATTCGACGAAGTATCTCTTCCGCATCTCCATACGACAGTTCAAAGGCTGGAATTGTTGGCAGGCCACTTTCGTTGAGTGGCTGACGATATATACCATCACTAGAGGGAAAGCCTGGGGTGAGTGGGTCTCCAGGCCCCGTCCCGCCCATCGATGATCCACGCTGAATTCCAGAGTCTGGAAGCCACCAAGATCGTGGGAAAGTGTTTTCGTTTCCTTCTGGTGCAAACTGTGCAGGGTCAGTGTAGATAAGGGCCCCAGAGGCCCCGTGTGAAGCAGCGTTGAAGACCTTTCCAAGAAGATGATGAAAGAGATAAAGGGAAATTTGTGTAATCTGTTCTATTTTAAGATGATCAAAGCAGAAAAGAAAAGCTGCAAACTAGGGACGCGATTTACAATTCACAGTACGTATGACGAAATATGACAGGGTTTAAAGAAGACAAGATAGTGTTAAGTGTGGAAAAGTTGATCTCCAAAGAAGGCCTTATTTCCAAAGTAATCAATCTTCAGTCTAGTACCTGTACTCTCTCTTCAGTTCCGGCTCTATCAAGGGGTTGAACCCAGGTAGGAGAAGAGAGAATCCAGAATAACTTGCATAAACGTACTCAAAACAAGCCAGTCAAAGTGAAGTGCTGACGCGCGCGCGGATTTAAGTTGCTCACAGGAGAGCCCAAGCTCAGTATGTGACTGTTGTGACGGACCATTATACATAACATGAAGTCAGTGTGTAATATCCAGTGACAAGAGGAAATGATCATTATCTCTTGCCAGTGATTACGTCATGTTACTGAAACATTTTTTAAACTAGCAATTGAGCCTGGTACTTCAAGGTGTGTTACATCTGTGTAAACACATAGGTACAATACCAACCTTGTTTCCTCTAAATACTCTTCCTTGGCGCACAAGAACAATTTTATCTTTCAGAGACACGCCCATAGCTTTCAGCTTCCTAAAATCCTCTACAGTGCCAAAGTTGGCATACACAACGTCTCTTTCCACCACCCCACTGGGGGAGAAACCCAGAAAAAATGGTAAGTCTTTAGTTTTCTTTTCATCCTTTCGTAAAATCTGTCGAGAAAATAAAGAATGTTCACAATAAATAAATGCTGGACCAAAAGGCTACAATAGGGCCTGTGACCTTCTGGGTAGCGAATTGAATCTTGGGTAGCGAATTGAATCTCGGCTAGCACGAGACGCTGGCTGGGGAAGAACCTTTCCTCTCACTTCGAGCCAAGAATATAATGAATTGTGCGATGGATCCAGCAATGCATCGCTGTGCTATGTTCTTAAGCAAGACTCTTTTGATCTATACTCTCACTTTCTTTATCCATGCGATAAATGAATGGGGAACTGGACTAGCATCCCATGCCACTTGGGATTCACAAATGAAAAAAAAGTTTAAAGTCAACCGGATAATCATAATGAAACTGTCTGCAAGACAGTTCCTCGCCAAAGCTCATCCAGGTTTCTTTTCCCTGGACAACCTTACATCACTGCAAGTCTCGGCCCCCCAATTATTTTATCAGCTTACAAGGCTCAATACCACCAAAAGAATACTAACAATTACGTGAACTAAGCATGCTCCGTAAAAAATGGCCGCGATATAATGTTTCCCTAGACCGGGAGGGGGCGGGGGGGCACATCAAAAGGAGGGGGCTGCTCGTCGTTTCCTTTTAGGGGTTAAAAAAGCGGTTTTGGTACCTCGAAGTATGTTCACACAGCTAGAACTTTCGCGGTACCTTTAACCCATTAACTCCTGTGCCGGCCGTAACCGGCCGTGACGAGCCTTTGCGTTTCTTCCACTTCTGACGTCATCACCTTTGACCAAAATTAGCATCATCTATGCTCAACTTCTGCAGGAGGGAAAGATCTTTCCAATGATACCCAGATCAGAGTGATCGGCCCAATGGAGCCTAAGATATGCACAAAAATGCTCAAAAGTTGAGTGAAAAACTCAGAGCAAAATTTCCTGCCACAACACGTGGCCACTCCATGGCAAAAATCGCCCGTCTCGATGATGCTCTCTCAAAATGTTTTAAACTGGAAGCAAGCCTAGCAGAAAGTCAGTCACTGCAGCAAAAAGAAAAGAAAAGGAGAAAAAAGAAAGGCGAAAAAAAAAACAAAAATCGAAAAGACAATAGACGTAGGTCACTTTCTCGTCTCAAAATTTTGATTTCTGCGCATGCCCGAGCAAAAATGTCGTAAAACGCGATGCTATTGAAAAGAAAAGCGTACTGTCATGTTGCAAATGCCTTTTTGAGTAGATTGGAGCTAATATGGCCCATATCCAGCCTGAAAATCTCCAAAATGTCCAAAAAAATGCGTTTTTGGCAAAAGCTCCAGGATTCAATGGGTTAAGGGTATTGAGACGAAACATATGTGGCAGGAGATAATGTGTGTTTTAGAACTGGTACCTCCTAGGCGTGAAAAAATGTCAAGCCACACCCACAAAACAGGATCTTGGTACCTCTGAGGGGATTTTTTCAAAATTTCTGACGAGCACCCTCGTCCACGGGTCCTCCCCGGGAACCCTAGCTCTGTGCTTGGGTTTTAAAGTACTCAATCAAACCTTTTCATGTGATTGTGACCTGAACACAACTTGGCCATGACAGTAAATTTCCACTTTGCTTTTCCTATCTTTTCGTGGTGAGGTCATCAACACGTCATACTTTGCCATCTCAACTTGATCGAATCCATACTCCTTCCATTTCTTGACAATATGCTGCGCCAAGTCGTTATTGCGTTTCGAGCCGGCCAAATGTGGCTCTTTAGAAAAATACCTGAAAAACAAATAGGCCTTTCACAAATATCCGAATATTTTTTGGGATATTTAGAAAAAATTAATATATTTTGAAAATTTAGGGATATTTAGAAATATTCATAGCTTTTCTTGGCCGAGCCCTGTGTTTTCCTCGCCAGTTTCTTAATCTGTGCCGAGCATTCCAGTTCAGTTGTTGAAAAAAAAATCCTTATCACTTAAAGCAGCAATTTCCCCAAATGAAGGATGCTGGTAATAAACATCGAAGCGCCTGAATCTTTCTCCGTTACTTCTTCAACTACTGCAAGAAAATTTCGAAATTTAGGACTAAGTGATTCAAAATCGCTTTATTTTTAGAATGAACATAATTTATATTTAGAGGGTTTTTTTGATATTAAGAAACATTTTTGTCATTTTTGGTCATATTAAGAAACATTTTTGAGGGCGGAAAGATATTTAGGCGATTTTACGTGATATTTGTGGAAAGACCTAATTTACACAAAACAAAATGACCTATTCTAAGAAGGCGTCTAATTTCTAAAAAAGAAGCCAAGTGGTGCCCCCAGGGCTAAATCCCCCTGTGTTTTAGAACGTTCCCCGCTCTGTACAGTCCCGGTGTTCGTTCAACCGTAAATACAGTTCCGAGCGGAAAAACTTATCGTCACAAATGAGAAAACATTTGATATTGCTTACCTTAAATTCTCTTCCAGATTTTCCGCTCTAAGCGAGTTCAAGAGTTGTGTTTTAATGTGCGAAGCTACATCGCTCGTGCTTCTCTGCTCAATCGGATTCATTTCCGTTCCTATTTCTTTGTAGTTTGACGGATAAATCGAGTTTAGTAAGTGTCCGCCAAGGAACGAAACAAAACTTACCGCTACAATTGAAGAAAATTTCAAAAACACTCTGAGAAAAATAGTCCTAGAGCAGCTTTTCTGGGAACTGTTTACATTTCCTGCCATTTTTACGCCTTGTTTTAGCGGTAGATACAATTCTTGTAAGGCTTCACAATATCAATAGAACCTGTTTCAAGCTCCTAATAAGTTGGCAAATACCTGTAATGTTACATGTAAAGTTCATATCTTTACGTAACCCCTATGAAAGATATAAATTCACGGCGGCATTTCTTTGAAAGTCACCTGGCAGAATTCGAAAATTCAGTTTTTAATGTACACGACGGAGTCAAAAATCAACCGTTAGTATGGCGACCTTCAACTGTATGTCCCCCTATCCCTTCGCGTGCATGGTCTTTTAATTCTTGCCCATTAATCAATTTGCTTCGCTATGCATTGGTTGCGGTCAGTTCCACACCTGTTCAGTTTCAGCCCCTCAGCAGGATTCACTACTGACTAATGGTTACCGGGGTATCTTCAGTCCAACGAATGCAGCGCCGCCCGATTACATCCGAGATACCCTAAACCCCATATCAAATTAAAACTTACAGATCTAGCTATTCAAAAATTTTATTAGGTTTTCCGAAAAGAGAATTATCGAGTTTTCCGCGAAGTCTAAACTGGAAGGTATAATTCAACTTTTTTCAAAGTCCCAACTGAACACGATTTCTATATTTTGGGAATTTTATTTTACTTTTTTTTTCCTAAGTCAGGAACCCAAACGTGCAAAAAGGGTGGGGTTTTCCGTTGTTAATTCTATTGAGAGTTTTCACTCACGTGGCCAGCAGCCATGCAAATTTATTGGAACAAAAGGAAGTGTTTACATAAGAAAAGTGTTCAACTACCACAGGACTGGTGTGGGACAACAACATGGCAGCCGTTTCATTGTTTTGCGCAACCAATATGGCTGTCGTGATGTCATGTATAAACGCTCTATTGCACTCGAAAGTTGCGGAACATTTTGAAAATTGCTGTAAAAAGTTACGGAGTGGCCCCACAGAAATGACTCCCAACGAAATAATTTTTAGAATTGTGAAATTTCCCCAACACGCTTTTGTTGGAGATGGGTTAATCTATCAACTGACCAGATTTGACTGAAATCGGACCAGCTGCCTTTGATTTGTAATAACACCTCAAAGTGTCCCCATCCAGGGAAAATAAAAATTTAAGTAAACACCAATTAGCTGTCAATTCGGGTACTCCGGTGAAAAACGGTTGTGTCTACTTCTCGATGAATATTTATGCTTTTGAATTTTCTTATTTTGACTGAATGCTCATAGTTCAAAGAAACGGAAAAAACGAAAGCTCAATGTTTTTAAGGTACACTTCGCGCAGAAATGAATTATTTGATGAACCCACCCATGTTTAGTTGTCTACCCTTAATAAGCTCTAATATCACAGGTGACCACNCTTCGCGTGCATGGTCTTTTAATTCTTGCCCATTAATCAATTTGCTTCGCTATGCATTGGTTGCGGTCAGTTCCACGCCTGTTCAGTTTCAGCCCCTCAGCAGGATTCACTACTGACTAAAGGTTACCGGGGTATCTTCAGTCCAACGAATGCTGCGCTGCGCGATCACATCCGAGATACCCTAAACCCCATATCAAATTAAAACTTACAGATCTGGCTATTCAAAAATGTTATTGGGTTTTCCGAAAATTGAATTATCGAGTTTTCCGCGAAGTCTAAACTGGAAGGTATAATTCAACTTTTTTCAAAGTCCCAACTCAACACGATTTTTATATTTTGGGAATTTTATTTTACCTTTTTTTGTCAGGAACCCAAACGTGCAAAAAGCGTGGTGGGGTTTTCCGTTGTTAATTCTACAGCCATGCAAATTTATTGGAACAAAAGGAAGCGTTTACATAAGAGAAGTGTTCAACTACCAAAGGACTGCTGTGGGACAACAACATGGCAGCCGTTTCATTGTTTTCGCAACCAATATGGCTGTCGTGATGTCATGTATAAACGCTCCCCTGCACTCGAAAGTTGCGGAACATTTTGAAAATTGCTGTAAAAAGTTACGTAGTGGCCCTAAAGAAATGACTCCCAACAAAATAATATTTAGAATTGTCAAATTTCCCAACACGCTTTTGTTGGAGATGGGTTCATCTATCAACTGACCAGATTTGACTGAAATCGGACCAGCTGCCTTTGATTTGTAATAACACCTCAAAGTGTCCCCATCCAGGGAAAATAAAAATTTAAGTAAACACCAATTAGCTGTCAATTCGGGTACTCCGGTGAAAAACGGTTGTGTCTACTTCTCGATGAATATTTATGCTTTTGAATTTTCTTATTTTGACTGAATGCTCATAGTTCAAAGAAACGGAAAAAACGAAAGCTCAATGTTTTTAAGGTACACTTCGCGCAGAAATGAATTATTTGATGAACCCACCCATGTTTAGTTGTCTACCCTTAATAAGCTCTAATATCACAGGTGACCAC